GATCTATTTGCTGAAGCTACTTTTGTGTCAGCACCAACCAAAGCGACAATAGAAGCAAGTCGTCAGGCACATGTTAGACTTTCTTTCATCTTAATTTTTGGAAATGCAACAATAAATTATTGTAGCTATGCCAATTGAATTGACCTTCTAGAAAGTAGGGGTATGTTTTGTCTTTTAGGTAGATATAACTAGCTTATCATGTAACATGAAATTCAATATCATGTCGTTACCTTTACCTTGAAATATTGCATGGTCTCTTATGATCTCTTAGGTCCCTTTAATTAACTTCATAACCATACCCTCCTCCCTTCTCCTCTTTAATGCAAAAAATATATCTACTTGCAAAAACACCATAGTTTATTTTCCTTGGTTTGCTTAAGAATCCCTTTAATCTTAGAAATGTTTTTATTTAAGCATTTAGAATAACAACGTATATGTACAATCTGATTTTCAGTTGGATATCACAGGGCTTTTGACTAGTTAATGAAGGAGTCAGGACATATTCTTTAATTATGAGTAGCTGAAATCAGCTTCCACTTTTCTCATTTCTGCAGGAACAGGTTGATCTATTTGCTTGCCAGCCTGCTGTCACTCCTGCAGCCTCTCCAATTGTTGACCTCTTTGCCGCCACTGATCCAGTTGTGCAGCCAGACACCACAGAACCAAAGTCTGGCTCAGTGAATTCTAACATTGTTGATCCATTTGCTACTATTCCACTGAACAATTTTGATGGACCTGAAATTTTTGGTTCATTCACTACTCATTCTGATTCAGCTTCAAAAGAACCAACACAAAATCCCATTAATGATGAAAGCCTTAACAATTTGAGCACAAAATCATCACAAGACTCTAAAGCTGCACAAAAGAAGGATAGTTTTCAGGTGAAGTCTGGAATTTGGGCTGATTCACTGAGCCGTGGAATAATTGATCTTAATATATCTGCTCGTAAGTATCTATTGTCATAATCTCTACTCTTTGTTTAGAACTGTGTATTTTGCATCTTTGTTACTTTTGTATCGTCATTTGAACCTTGCAGCCAAGAAGGTTTCACTGGCAGATGTTGGCATTGTTGGTGGATTGAGTGAAGTAGATGAAAGAGATAAGGGACCTCCAACTTCATTTTATATGGGGAGAGCAATGGGTACAGGGTCTGGACTTGGTAAAACTGGGTTTGCATCTACACAAGCAACCTCTGAAGATGATCTATTCTGAAGCCTTGGCAGCCAACGGTATCAATTCGGTAGCTTTAAGAAGTAATTTTGCTCATTTTCTCTTAGCATTCTTTTCCTTGTTTGAAAAAAAAAAAAAAGAATTAGTCCATGGTGCTGCGCATATTGGTGTTCTAGTTTTGATCATAAATTCATTGTTATGTATCAATCATGAGGGGACATACATTCATAGTACCCCCACAAAGTCTACAATCATCGCATTGTAAATTGTAAGTAGGTATTGAGATTTGATTCTCAAGTAAATTGGCAGCATAATTGTTGTTCACACTTCACACTACTTTGAAGTAATTAGCATAGCATTGGGAGATTCAAGTTGTATAGCCTAGCCTTTGTTGTGTTGTGTATGAAGAGAATAGATTAGGTAAAACCAACTCAAGTTCAATATTCCGCTTATCATCCAGTAGCGTAGCCATGTTGCATATCATTTCTCATTACGCTCCTTTACTTTCTAACAAAGTTATTGTCATTCACGACAAGTTTACTGTCATTATGATTTATTTTTTGGGATGATGAATGCCATAGCCGATTCACCATGACTTTCCCCTGACGAAACATTATTAATTATTATTTTTAATCATTATTATATTTTTTAGGCTCCAAACCAGGACACCCTTATTGCCCGTTTTATAGAAAATTTCCCTTTTATAATAAGAATCATTTGCATCCAATGGATTGAGAATTTAAATCAGAGAGAGAAAGCTCTAATGAAGATTCTTCCCTCTGGCACCCCATTTTTTCATTTTGATTTCACTTTTTTTTCTTTTAAAGTTATAGGATAAGGACAAAAATGTTTCTATCACTTTAACTTTTTTTTTCTATTTTTCTTATTTTTTATTTAAAGTTTTTAATAATTTAATTAATTTAATATAAAAATAAATTATCAAATAACTTTATTTAAACTTTTATTATATTCAAATTTAAATCTAACATTCTTAATGATTTTTTTCTTATTATACTTTATTCCATCATAACTATTATATTTGTATTTAAATGTATATCTCATTATTTATTTTAATTTTACTATTACAATAATTAATCTCATTACTATTATTTTTAATTTCACTAAAATTATTTTACTGTTCATTCAAATAAATCATAAATATATATATATCTTATAATTCAAAAAATATAAATTCAAGTCTTTCAACAAATAAATTGCAATTTAACCTTATTTGTTGTGATTTTATGTTTATTATTTTCTTTTTTTTATGAATTTTGTTTATTTTATAGCTTTTAATTTTCAAAAAAAATTTGGTGATTTTGGGAAAAAATTTTTGAAAAAAGCTAAATTGAATTTGTTGGTGATTTTGAATTTTTTTTTAAACCAAGTTAAATTATTATTATATTTTTAGAGTTTGAAATTTTTAAAATTTTTGTTAAAATAGTGGCCCACGTCAATTCAATGTTTCTTTTTTACTATCACGTGGCAACCATTTCTAGATTATTCATTCATTTATCGAACTTACGGTGCCCTTTACAATATCCTCTCAGAACTTTAATATTATATTAGATAAAAAATTCACGCTTCGGAGCAAGAGCAATAAGCATCATTTGCAAGGAAAATACTTTTTTTTTTAAGGCTCTGAAAATTAGTATCACTTGGTTTAAAATTCTTTGAGGGTTTCACTAATTACATGTCAGTGTACTTAAAAATTTATATATATATATATATATATATATATATTCAATAAAACTCAACCAAAGGAAAAAAAATCTCAAGTCTCTAATGCCTAAACCTTAATCCTTTTTAAGATAACTTTAAGTTCAAAAGCTTTTTGATTTATATCAAAAGATATATAAATATATATAAACTAAATAATGATTCTTTAAACAATCAGGCAATCAAAACATTAAGGAGAAATTTATTCATCATTGAAATCAGACATTCAACTATCCTGCAAGGGTTTAATGGTATCCTAAGTATAATAGGTTTTACCAAAGTGTAATTTGAAGAAAGTATAAATTAGTGTAGGTCTCTTACGTACATATTCTACTGTTTTGCAAGGTATAAATTTTACTATTATACAAGATATCCTACTATTCTTTTTTTTTTTTTTTCTACAGAGAGTTGAGGGAAGGATATATATCAAAAAATGAAATTAAAAAAAAATCATAAGCAAGTTTCATAATGATATTTACTCCAACCAAATTAGAATTGCCTATTTATGTCGTAACCCGTTGTCAACCATTAATATATAAACAAACGTCCATTAACTACTATCATCCTTTGCCTTTATCCATTCTTTTTTTTTTTTTTTTTCTGCTTCCTCTATGCTTCTGCTTTTCTCTTTCCTTCTTTCTTTTATATTTTAAACCTTCAGTAATCATAAACATAATTTATCATGGAACGAAGACTAACCCCTCGTCAATAACTGAATAATCCTTTTGTTAGCTTTTATATCCTAAATTTTAATAATGTTTAATTAATTAAACTAACATGGATATTGGGTAAATATTTATATTTTACAATGAATATGGAATCGGTAAATAGGTTTTAATGAATATTTAAGAGTTAGTTAATGTATGATAGCTGTTATCAACATTACATATAAAGTTTGAATATGAAATATATCTTCACATTAAAAATGAAATCAAAACTTAATTGATGAAAAGCACATTGATATATATTAATAATATTTAATATAATATATTATTATATTATTTGTTAATATATTATATATTAATATAATAATTGTAACATCACTAATTGTAATTTTTATGACCAATGCCCATGTGGTAATAGAGCCAAATTGTTTCCAAAATACTGAAAATACCATTTTTTTTTGTTTCAATAATTTCTAAAATTTTTAAAATTTTTCTTTTAGTTTTTAAAAATAGAAAATAAAAACAACCTATCAAACACATTTATGAATTTAATTTTTAAAAAAATTAAAAAATGAAAACGTTACCAAACGACCACTTCGGTAACAATTACCTACTTTCTTTGTGACCCAATTTCTACGATATTTCTTGTTCGACCAGCGAAGAATGGATCCAACATCTAGTGGGTCGAATGTCGCTTGTTTTGTGTCCCCATGTTTCCTCCCCTTCCCTCTTTTTTTTTTTTTTTCATAAACAATTTTTGAAAATGAAAAAAAAAAGTTAGATTCAACGTAAATCTATCCTAATCAGATTAAAAATTGCACAAATCTTTCTCCGTCCTCCTCACCTTTTGTCATCATTACTCTTAAAAAATTAAGGCAAAAAAATAAAATAAAACTCCATTCGCAAATCGCACCTTATTCTTTTTCTTCCCCTCTAATTTTTTTCTCCAAATTGGTAAAAACTTGTAGAAGAAAAAAGATAAAAAAAACAACAAAACACCGCCCATTTGTTCGCAACCATTCAATAAAAAAAAACCGAGAGTGGAAGAAATATTTAATAGATGCTGAAAACATTAGGTTGACTATTGACTAGAAAGAGAAAAAAAAAAATCTTAAAAAAAAAAAACAAATGGGGGGTACTCTTTCCCTGCAAGTTTTTAACCAATTTTTTAAATTTAAATTGCAAAATACAGTGTTTTGTTTCATAGATTAAAAAAAAATAGAAACCAATCACCACGCAGCACGTGGTGCAAAATTAAGGTTATTTGGTGAACAAAATTATTAAATTATCCCTTAAATTACTTTTAAAGATAATAATGAGGTGAATATGAAATTGTGAAGTTAGAGAGTAGGGGATAATTTTAATTTGTTTTATAGATACTATATAGTTATATAAGTTATAGATTATAGATACTATATAGTTATATAAGGTATAGATCGTCTGCAATCAAATCAAAGCAGTATGCTCTCAGATGGGTAAATAATGATAGTTAAATTGGCTGTACATATATATAAGGAGGTCAGGCAAACAACAGTTGTCTTGTTGTTAGTTTGTGATCATTTTCGATTACAATTTAACGAGAAGCCAGCCATAAAATATCAATCCATCATTCTTCCCCTCAGCATGGCTTCAGCTTTCCTCACCTGCTTCACAGGTCCCATGATGAATACCTGCATCAAAACGGGAAGATATTAGGAGCTCAATTATGGAGATGTAAAAGTACATGTGCCATTCTTAGAAAGGACAAACAAAAAAACATGCTAAGTGTAACAGCTAGGAACGATGGTAACTGGTAAGGTCATTTTTTTTCTTATTTGAGGCATTAGGATTTAAATCCAACACTCTACCATCAATTGCCAGCAAAGTAATTCTTTAAGATAACTTTAGACTAACCTTGTCTGGCGGACCCTTAGCACCCCCAAGAAAGATTTCCGCGCTGCAAGAAAATGAATTTGTAAGTATCCGTAATTATATTTGTAGCTCCAAGCCCCACAGAGACGTGTATGCAATGCTATATGAGATGTCAACAGGTAACATATGAAACTGGTAAAATATTCTTAATCCTCATTTCCATATTTTTATTTTATACCCGTTCCCTTACTCATGTCCAATGGATATTTCAAATCTATACTTACTCCAATTACTGAGTATTTAATAAGTATGAATAATTTTTGTATCCATAACTTTTTTAAAAAAAATAAAAACTAAAGTTTATTTTTTTAGCTTTTTTTTTTTTTTTATCTTGTACATTTATATAACTTTTTTATAAATATATATTAATATATTTTAAAATAGAAATATATTAGCTCTAATTAATCAAAATAATAATGTGTATTATTTAATAAAAAATTTATTTACTAAATATATAAGAGTATAGGTATGAGTAAAGGACGGGTGCTATATTATCCATCCCCATACCTGATAAAAAATCTAAAATCATAACCATCCTCATTTTTAGTCCAATAAAAAATCAAAATTTTCACTGGATATGAATAAAAATTAACATCCCTAGATGTACTTTTGTTTGGACACGGAAGGAGAAAGAGAGGCATATACTTGCAAGACTCCTTTATTGACAAGATGGAAGCCCCTTTTCTTCCAATAACACGTCCCATCTTCCCTTGAGGAACATCAAGAATAGAAAGTACTTCTTCCTCAGGAGCATTCCCCTCCGTTATTAAGTTGTCTACAGAAACAAATCTCACTCTTGGTCAGTTTCCCATATAAAGTACCATATTTCTACTTGCATTCTAGATACATTTTTCTTTGTCTCTAATGAATAATGCAGAGTTCAGTACAATTAAGATTTCAGAATATAGTTCCAAACTTTTTTTGCTTTGATAATATCCATAATCACACTAGTTGAGAAATGTCCATCTTTATTAAAGCATTATTCTCATTCAAATTTCACCAACATATGCCACATTACATTATTGAAGGTAAGGACTAAATCCACTTATCAGGAATTTATATGGATATGCTCAGTTGGTACAAAAAAATGTGTAAATGAGAAGATTACAAGAATAATATACTGGATCTGTAAGGCTCAGTGAATTAGTCAGTATATTTCTCCAGGATTCTAACAAGAAAAAGATGATTTTACTATAATAAGGTCATTAGGAATATGAGAACCTGGAATGGGAGGGACAGATGGCCAATCAGCATAATTATTATCACTGACGCAGAAACATTGGCAATACAATGCTCCATGAACTGCAAGGTACCATAAGGATCGTTGATTCAGTTTCCCCATCATCATGTGGTAGATGTATAGAAGAAAGCGGACATCATCTGCAGCTGCACGGACCATAAGCTCAGATAATGGTCTATATGTCCAAAAGTTGGGATCCTGCAGGGACGTAAGACAAACTGTAAAGATTGAAAAAAAACTGCAATTTACATATTACAGTGAAATATTATTATCAATAACTGAAGCATCTATCTATTCACAGAACTTTATTGAGAGAAGAAATTTGAATTCTGAAGCAAAATATCTGAATTACTCTACATGTGATCAAATGAAAAATAACTAGGGAATGATTTCAAATCAACTTCTGCTGATATTGTCAAGTTATTGTCAGATTGGTCCAGCTCTATCTGGGGCAAATTTTCAATTAAGCCTTAAGCACCCAATAACATTAGAGAAGTGGCAAGAAACTTGCTATCTATCCTGCCTAGCAAGATGGCGACAAAGCTCGAAAGAGCACTGTGTACAAATTGACTAACTAGGGAATGAATTCAAATCTACTTCTGTGGATATTGTCAAGCTATTGTCAGATTGGTCCTGTTCTATGTAAGGCAAAATTTTAATTAAACCTTCACCATCCGATAACATTTGAGAAGTGGCAAGAAACTTGCTATCCTTCTTGGCTAGCTAGATGGCGTCAAAGCTCGAAAGAGCACAGTGTACAAAGTGAATCAAGTGGCAGAATGGAGGAAATCATCAGAACAAAGACATGCTAATGTTCCAACCAGCTACTTACTAGACCAGGCAATCAAGCATTATGATTTCCATGCAATTCATAATTTGTTTTAAATAAGAAAGTAAATACCCAATAGCTCTCTGGAATTGAAAAAAGACAGCAGGGATTTACTTTTATCCATAAGCTCAGCAGTGTAATTAAAATATATCCCATCAATTCCATGGTAGTGAGATGTTTAAACTAACCTGCCTAAGTAGGAGACGAACCTCTTCCTTCTCCGGATAAGAAATGCCTACATTTAAAGTATCAAGGCCTAAATCAAAGCCAAAACAATGCAGTGGAATAACTTGAGAGGAAGTCTAACTTTGCTAGTTTAAAAGAAGCCTATGGCACATCCAGTTTCAAACAGCATAAAGAATACTGCAAAATAAAAGTATGCGAAGCAAGATCATCTAAAAGCATCATCACTTCTCACATGTGTTTGGAAAGGACTTAAAAGAAATAAATAAATGGTTATACTAGGGCAATACCTAACTGCTTGATTTCAACAGTTAATGGAGCACACTGCAAAGTGACATCAACAAAAAGACCAGAAAGGGGTCTTTCGGGGAAATCAATAATACCTATTTCTAAAATCATTAAGATAATGTCTTAAAATGTTTGTGAGAAAAAAAGGTATTCAGTTAACACAGTTAAGCTGCAGACAGAAACTTCTATGACCTCAATTAATTAAATCCAAATGGATACCAGGACATATAAATACCACAATAGCGTGGATCTGCAAGGAGGCCAACAAATGATATGTAGTCATCAGGCAATCTTGTCCGTCCTTCTTGTTCCTCTATAAGAGAATAAGCAATCTGCAGCTCAAACAAAAAATAAAAGAGGCAACATCAAACAACTAAACATTATTTTAGTAGCCCTCTTATCAATTTGGACAACATTGACGACAAGGAAGATGAAGCAACTTGTGTTTCTGAATGCATCCATGTGAATGGAAATAGTGGAATGTTATAAGCACCTAAAAGCAAGAATTGAACGTAAAAAGAAATGAAACCACAAGTATCAGGAAAAATCTTGTTTAAAGTGATAACTAGTTAAGCTTAAATCCACCCAAGTATTCCACAATTGGAGTAATAACAAACAATAAAATGAAAGGAGAATAAAATTATATGCTTTGCCAGTTTGCTATAGATAAGTCTTCAAGCTCATAAAGGGTGCTCACCTGGGTGTCCATAACATTGTGTAACTTAATGCCAAATTGAAAGTACAATGCCTGAAAAATAAGAACACAATTCAAATTGTCCATAAAGCATCTCAAATGTGCCATAATGCAAAATTAAAATGAAAAACAATTAGACACCTCACTATCTCGTTTGCAATCGTGAATGACTTTTGTGACGTAACTAGACTCAAGTGCAGGCTTACAGGCTTTTATAAGCATCTCTCCACCCTCAATGGCATCAACCAAATATATAGCATCCGGAAATGAAAGCTGCCGGAAAACAGTATTTCTATAAAATCTTAGAAAAGCAAAGATTGAATAGCACAGGCAAGCCAAGGCATTTTCATTTTTAAACTAAAAGAAACAAAAATTCCATTCGCGTATAAAACACATGATGTACACGTCAAAGAAACAAACCATAGTTATTCATAAAGCGTTTCATATCATTATTGACTCAAGGAGCTCAACTTGAATAATTTGATCCAAATACTCATCAGAACTACATTTAACCTGCATAATACAAAGAGTCCCATGGCGACAAAGGTCAATGCCCTCGCAGTCAAAACCTACGACCAACTGCCTCTTCGGCGACGGGTTCAGGAACTCCCTCGGAAGCTGAGAAGCATCGGTCACTATATGGATAGGAACCGGAGGAGCGTCATTGTCAAATGGATTGCCTCCTGCAACGTCAAGTTAACGAAATTAATTCTAATCCAAAACAAATTCCGTTAGAACAGTCAATTCCAAAAAAAAAAAAAAGGGTGAAGAATCAGTGATATGAACTGCTTTCAGTTATTTTCTTCGCCTAAACCGACAGTCGAAGTGAATTAGGGCAATAGATAAAAAATCAAAGGGCAGATAATCCACGACTATAAAGCTAAATTTAAATTACAGTAAAAAGCGCAATAGCAAACTTAGAATTTAAACCAGAAAAAAGTTTTAAGTAGATAATAAAAAATATTAAGAAGTTAAGTACCTGACTCGGAAGAGAGAGGAACGTGAGTGCGATGAGAAGCAGGGTGCGAGGAAGCCATGTGATCTGACCATCCAAGCTAATCGATTTTTTCCCCCTTCGGTCTGAAGTCTTAACGGGATTTATATTATTCTCATGGGTTTTTTTTTTTGTTTTTTTAACTATGGTTGATTTTTTCACTAAATGGATTTTCTTTAAAGTGTGATCTGGAGCGGAAGGCATTACGCGAGTATGCAACGGCGCTCTTTAATTTTTTTCGCCACGTCACCTAGTTTGATGACTTGGGCACGGTGCAGGGGATAATGAAAATCAGGTGTTTTCCTTTTTTATTACTAACTAGTTTACCCGCGCTGGGATGATTTTTTTTTTAAATAGCATTTGAAAAAAAAGTAAAAATAAAATAAAATAAAATAAATTCTAAATTAAGTTTGCACTTAAAATAGGATACCATATAATAGATTTAAGTTTAAGTTTTTTTTTTTTAGTTGATGAAAATTTAAGACTAAATAAGATATTTAATTCTTCATGTTACGATAAAATGTATCGTATATAATAATTTAAAATAAATAATTACAGATCATACATTCGTAATAATTTCAACAAATAATCATTGATAAAATTTAAATTTAAAATTTTTTTATCGAAAAAGATAAATCTTAATTGATTGAATCAACTACTTATTAATTAAATTTAAATTCATTCAATGAACATTAATTTAAATTTTAAATTAAAAAGATAGAGCAACATTTTGGTTTTAATACAAGTAAATATTAGCGTTCTACTTGCGGTGCGTTAGATAATAATATTCTTTATGACTTTTCTTGTCATTTTTTATTTTTAATATATCTTATATAAATATTATAAATGGATATGCATTGTGTTGTCATTTTATTTTAATTTTTTATATTTTATTATAAATTAATTTTTTTTTTAAGTGGGATTCATTACTTTTTGGTGGGAGCCACTTTTTCCAATTTAGTTTTTTTTTTTTCTTTTTAACTTTTTTATATTTTATTTCTTGTGTTTAAAATTTTTAAATGTACAATATAGCACCTTTTTTTTATCATTTTATAATTTATAATTTATAATTTTAACATTTTATATATTTATTATTTGAACAGATATTTTTAGTGGGACTCATTATTTTTGTTTCTCATAGGGCTAATTTTTTTAATTTGCTTTTTTTAATTATTATTTCAACAGGGATTGTGACTTTTTTATAGATCAATTTGTTTTTTTAGTAGGACCTTTTTTAAAAAAATTTTATGTACTTTTTTCTCTATTATTTTTTATGGGCAACTCATTTTTTAAACTTTATTTTCCCTAATCTTCTTTTCTAAATCTCCTTATTTTCTCATACTTCTCTAAAAAACCAATAGGTGGAATAATTATGATGGTGAAATAGGAGGTACTCTGCTGAGGTCGATATTTAATATTTAATACGTTGTGATTATTATTTTGTTATTGATTTTTCGTGTTATATTAAAAGTATTATGATTTTTTTTAATTACTACATGGATTATACGATCTTTTCATTTTATTGTATAATATAAATTTTGTGACAACAAAAAAGATAGTAAGAATTATAATTTTAATGAAACAAATTTAATTTTTTATGTATTTTATACTTCTATTTATTATATATTTTAAAGATTTTAATCTTTTGTTTATTATAAATAATAATTATTATTATTGATGATTAATTCATTGTTAATTATTGATTATTGATATTTTATATTTTTTGTATGTTTATATTTTTCATGAAAATAATTATTTAGAAAAAATAAATGGTAAATTTAATAGGGAAAAAGTGAAAAAATCTTAATTTTCATTTTTTATTTTTTATTTTCTTTCCTTTTTAATGAAAAATATTTGTCTAAATACTTTAAATTTCTTTACAACAAAATATTTTTCTAAAAAAATGAAAAAAAAATTATTGGGTTTGATTCAATTAAGAGTAGAACCCGAAATTAATTTGGAGTGGGTTAAAGCTAAATCAAGTGCAAGACAATGGATTGAGTTGAATTTTTAGGTTTGCAAGTTGGGTTTAAATCCTTTAATCCTTTATAATAAATATAAATACTATCCAATTAGGAGAAAATAGATCATTTATTTTTATTTAACCTGTAGATGAAAAATGAATTATTGATAAAAATATTTATTTGAGAAAAATACCTTTATAAAGTTAATAATGTCCCTTGTTGCTAATTAACCTCTTTAGATTCTTTAACTCAATTTTCTTTTCACACCAAAAAATTTTAAGATAATGTTTAGTATGACGTGATTATATAAAAATTATAGTGATTAAATTATTATATTTAATAAGCATTCAATGATCTTACATAATTGTGATCTTGAATAATTGAGAATTGTCTAATCACTGTCTTAAAGGGTGATCTAATTTTCATAAAAAAAATGAGAAATTTTTATCACTAAAAGGAAGAGATATGCAAAATTAATAATAATCAATATTATAAATTTAATATGTGAATTAAAAATTTAGTTTCTTTTAAAATAAAAATTATTTTATATTACAAATTTTTATATTTCTAAACTACTATTTATTTTAACAAGTTCAAAAATAATTGTCTTTTTTATTTTTTTAATATTTATATATAATTGTTTTATTTTTCATTTATTATGAGTTTAATAGATTAATTTTATTTTTAATTCAAATATTTTTACATAATTTATATTATAAAATTAAATTACCTATCAATAAATATATTTTATTGATATAATAATTTAATAATCTTTTATTATAAAATAAATAAACTATTATTAATATTTTATAAGTTATTATCTTTAAATAATATTAAAATTATTAATTTGTGTAATTATTAAAATATGTATAATTACTTTTAAATAAAATAATATTTGATTTTTAATAAGATCAAATGTAGTAATCTTTAATTCATAAAATTTAATTATTGTTAACAAAATGATTAAAAATTACGAGTAATAAAATTATCTTAACAATAAAATCATTTTGATAATTATATTATTACGATAATCTTACAAAAGATTCCAAACATTACTTAAAAATAATTTTCAATAAAATATATTTTACTAAACGCATGGTTTTTTTTTTTTTTTATGAAATTCTTTAAAGCTAGTTATTACCAATTTAGGAAAAATTTTCAAATAAGTCAAAATTTTGTAAAATGATTTATAAATCTCTTGAGTTTTGATTGGTTTTAAGTTTCGAATCGTCAAACATTAACAAATATTAATTAATTGTCATACTAAATATAAAGATGATAAGACATCAAATCATTTTTTTCTTATAGTATTTTCTATTAAAAATATCATCTTTTATTTGGTTTAAACATTAAACATTTTTGAGTTGTTTCAAAAAAGAATTTCTTGAAGGAAATGTGATGCATGCACTGTTAAAGTCTAATATTAATATTTAAGGTTTTTTTTTTATCAATAAAAATGCTAATTCTTTCAAAATTTTCATAGGAAAAAAATAACAAACATTAGCTAAATATTTTCAAAAAAAAAAAAAACCCCAAATAATCTTAAAAATAGTTCTTCAAGCATTTCCCCTACTTTTGCAATTGTCTTTGCTTTTGAATTCACGCTTTTGTTGCCTCTCTTCTCGCTCCTTCACTTCTTGTCTCCTTAAAGCTTGAATCCCACATTTCAGTTATGGACCAAAATCTACAAGTTTGTAACCAAGTTATTATTGGATTCTTTTTTATTTTCCAAAGCTTGCCTTATTAGCTATAATCTTAGCTTTAATTCAATCTCAATTCCACAATCTCTTATTCTTTATTGGTTATTGGGTCTTTCTTTTTCTTTTTTTAATGTAACTTCTTTTTGTTATTTCTTTGATATATTTTGTGGGTGTTTGGATGTTAAGAAAGTGTAGGAAAATTAGAGGAAAATGGTGGGTTAATTTAGAAAAAAAGGATAATATCGTTGATTTTTTAAGTTGATTATTTTTTTGGGTTTGACTTTTTTTTCTAAAATTAATTCTTTGAAATTGATTATATAATATAATTTCATTTTTGGATTTAGAGTTTTTTTATATAGTTTTTGGGTGTTTGAATGTTGAGAAAGTATAAAAAAAAAAAGAAAAAGAAAATGATGGGCTAAGTTTGGAGAAAAAGGTAATCTCTTAGGCTTTTTACTTGATTATTTTTGGGTGTTTGATTACTAAGAAAGTATAGGAAAATGAGAGAAAATTATTGTTGTGCTTTGACTAAAATTGGCCATTAGTATTTTTTTTCTTTTAATTAGAAAAATCTTATTTATCTTCTTTGGTTTCTAAAATTGGCTCTTCTTCTTTATTGCTCTTTCTTAACTTTTGATTTTTTTTTTTAACTTGTTCTGATTGAGGATCTCCACTCTTATTGTCTACAGTATCACTATGTGATTTTTTACAAATACAAGAATATGTATATTCATGAAATTATCCCATGAATCCTTTTTGACTAAGTCCTAGGGAAATTAGTGGCTTGTATACTTAGCATTTTCGTATCTCTTGATCTTTGTTTTGTTAAATTTTGTTGGTTTTTATGTTTGATTTACAAAGTTGTAAAGTAACATCTAGTGATAATCATTTTCAATTTGTAGTTTTTATCTTTTATTTTTAGTTTTTGGTTATTTATAATATTTTTATTTTTTAGTTATTAAATATAACTATTTTGCAATAATTATATTTTTTATGATAAAAATACAACTTTATCCTTAATTTTCTGCAAATTAAGGATATCACTCTATTTTAATGCGCTTGTATTATACTGCAGTGACGGAATCTTATTTTGGATTAACTTGAAAATATTTAATTTTACATTGAATTAAATTAAAGATATATCATTAATTGAGAAACATTAAATCCTAAAATGAACATTTAACCTTTTCTCATTTCTCATTTTCTTCTCTTATTTTTCTTTTTCTCTTTCTCTCAATCCTTAGACCTTATTTCTTATAATTCAAACAACTTAAACAACCAAAGCTACTGGCCTTTTAATTACCAAGATTTTGGCATTCGACCACAAAGTCTAGAACTTCCTATTTTCCTCATTTACATTTTTATCTTAATAGATTTCCTAAAACTAACCCTAAATCCATAAATTTAATTCCAAAGACCAATTTTTTGCCACTATTTAACCTTTCTTTGTCGAGCCAAATCCTTCGAAATTTTAGTATTTTACTTCCCT